ACGTTTTTCGAGGCCGGAACGTCCCTTCTGAAATCCTACAAGAATATCAGATTCCATCTTATTTCAACCTTGTTACAAGCTGTTAAAAGCTGCTGGCTGCTGCTGGCTGGCTGCTAGCTGCTGCACTGCCAGCTGCGGCTGCTCTTACTGCTGCTGCTGGCGAACGCTTGCGAAACACCTCCCGGCAGTAAAACAGCATGGCCCTAAAGGACGAACCGATGCCAAAATCTACGTTTTTCGGGGCCGGAACGTGTATTCCACCTTGTTAAGAGCTGTTACAAGCTGCTGGCTGCTGCTGGCTGGCTGCTAGCTGCTGCACGGCTGCCGCTGCTCTTAGCCTGTTAAACACCTCCCGGCAGTAAAACTCCCTTCTGAAATCTTACAAATCCTACCAAAATATCATTTTTCCACCTTATTTCCACCTTGTTAAGAGCTGTTAAAAGCTGCTGGCTGGCTGCTAGCCGCTGCACTGCTGCCGCTGCTCTTACTGCTACTGCTGGCGAACGCCTGCGAAACACCTCCCGGCAGTAAAACAGCATGGCCCTAAAGGACGAACCGGTGCCAAAATCTACGTTTTTCGAGGCCGGAACGTCCCTTCTGAAATCCTACAAAAATATCATTTTTCCACTTTATTTCCACCTTGTTACAAGCTGTCAAAAGCTGCTGGCTGCTGGCTGGCTGCTAGCTGCTGCACTGCTGCGGCTGCTCTTACTGCTGCTGCTGGCGAACGCCTGCAAAACACCTCCCGGCAGTAAAACAGCATGGCCCTAAAGGACGAACCGATGCCAAAATCTACGTTTTTCGGGGCCGGAACGTCCCTTCTGAAATCCTACAAAAATATCATTTTTCCACCTTATTTCCACCTTGTTAAGAACTGTTACAAGCTGTTGGCTGCTGCTGGCTGGCTGCTAGCTGCTGCACGGCTGCCGCTGCTCTTAGCCTGCTAAACACTTCCCGGCAGTAAAACCCCCTTCTGAAATCCTACAAATCCTACAAAACTAGCGTTTTTCCACCTTATTTCCACCTTGTTACAAGCTGTTACAAGCTGCTGGCTGGCTGCTAGCTGGCTGCTTTTACTGCTGCTGCTGGCGAACGCTTGCGAAACACCTCCCGGCAGTAAAACAGCATGGCCCTAAAGGACGAACTGATGCCAAAATCTACGTTTTTCGAGGCCGGAACGTCCCTTCTGAAATCCTACAAAAAGATCAGATTCCATCTTATTTCCACCTTGTTAAGCGCTGTTACAAGCTGCTGGCTGCTGCTGGCTGGCGGCTAGCTGCTGCACGGCTGCCGCTGCTCTTAGCCTGTTAAACACCTCCCGGCAGTAAAACTCCCTTCTGAAATCTTACAAATCCTACCAAAATATCATTTTTCCACCTTATTTCCACCTTGTTAAGAGCTGTTAAAAGCTGCTGGCTGGCTGCTAGCCGCTGCACTGCTGCCGCTGCTCTTACTGCTACTGCTGGCGAACGCCTGCGAAACACCTCCCGGCAGTAAAACAGCATGGCCCTGAAGGACGAACCGATGCCAAAATCTACGTTTTTCGAGGCCGGAACGTCCCTTCTGAAATCCTACAAAAATATATCATTTTTCCACTTTATTTCCACCTTGTTACAAGCTGTCAAAAGCTGCTGGCTGCTGGCTGGCTGCTAGCTGCTGCACTGCTGCGGCTGCTCTTACTGCTGCTGCTGGCGAACGCCTGCAAAACGCCTCCCGGTAGTAAAACAGCATGGCCCTAAAGGACGAACCGATGCCAAAATCTACGTTTTTCGGGGCCGGAACGTCCCTTCTGAAATCCTACAAAAATATCATTTTTCCACCTTATTTCCACCTTGTTAAGAGCTGTTAAAAGCTGCTGGCTGCTGGCTGGCTGCTGGCTGCTGCTGGCTGGCTGCTAGCTGGCTGCTAGCTGCTGCACTGCTGCGGCTGCTCTTACTGCTGCTGCTGGCGAACGCCTCCGAAACACCTCCCGGCAGTAAAACAGCATGGCCCTAAAGGACGAACCGATGCCAAAATCGACGTTTTTCGAGGCCGGAACGTCCCTTCTGAAATCCTACAAAAATCATTTTTCCACCTTATATTTCCACCTTGTTAAGAACTGTTAAAAGCTGCTGGCTGCTGCTGGCTGGCTGCTAGCTGCTGCACGGCTGCCGCTGCTCTTAGCCTGCTAAACACTTCCCGGCAGTAAAACTCCCTTCTGAAATCCTACAAATCCTAGAAAACTAGCGTTTTTCCACCTTATTTCCACCTTGTTACAAGCTGTTACAAGCTGCTGGCTGGCTGCTAGCTGGCTGCTTTTACTGCTGCTGCTGGCGAACGCTTGCGAAACACCTCCCGGCAGTAAAACAGCATGGCCCTAAAGGACGAACTGATGCCAAAATCTACGTTTTTCGAGGCCGGAACGTCCCTTCTGAAATCCTACAAAAAGATCTCAGATTCCATCTTATTTCCACCTTGTTAAGAGCTGTTACAAGCTGCTGGCTGCTGCTGGCTGGCGGCTAGCTGCTGCACGGCTGCCGCTGCTCTTAGCCTGTTAAACACCTCCCGGCAGTAAAACTCCCTTCTGAAATCTTACAAATCCTACCAAAATATCATTTTTCCACCTTATTTCCACCTCGTTAAGAGCTGTTAAAAGCTGCTGGCTGGCTGCTAGCCGCTGCACTGCTGCCGCTGCTCTTACTGCTACTGCTGGCGAACGCCTGCGAAACACCTCCCGGCAGTAAAACAGCATGGCCCTAAAGGACGAACCGATGCCAAAATCTACGTTTTTCAAGGCCGGAACGTCCCTTCTGAAATCCTACAAAAATATCATTTTTCCACTTTATTTCCACCTTGTTACAAGCTGTCAAAAGCTGCTGGCTGCTGGCTGGCTGCTAGCTGCTGCACTGCTGCGGCTGCTCTTACTGCTGCTGCGGGCGAACGCCTGCAAAACACCTCCCGGCAGTAAAACAGCATGGCCTAAAGGACGAACCGATGCCAAAATCTACGTTTTTCGGGGCCGGAACGTCCCTTCTGAAATCCTACAAAAATATCATTTTTCCACCTTATTTCCACCTTGTTAAGAGCTGTTAAAAGCTGCTGGCTGCTGGCTGGCTGCTGGCTGGCTGCTAGCTGGCTGCTAGCTGCTGCACCGCTCTTACTGCTGCTGCTGGCGAACGCCTCCGAAACACCTCCCGGCAGTAAAACAGCATGGCCCTAAAGGACGAACCGATGCCAAAATCGACGTTTTTCGAGGCCGGAACGTCCCTTCTGAAATCCTACAAAAATCATTTTTCCAGCTTATTTCCACCTTGTTAAGAGCTTTTAAAAGTTGCTGGCTGCTGCTGGCTGGCTGCTAGCTGCTGAGAGAAAATGAGCTATTTTAGCTACTTTTTCCTCATGGGAAAACACCATGGCAGAGAAGGACGGACAAGCATCAAAATTGCGACCAAAAACTCCCTAATGTAACTTCTGAAACCCATAGAAAAGGATTATTTTAGCTACTTTTTCCTCCTAATTGCGACTAAAAACTCCCTAATGTAACTTCTGAAACCCATAGAAAAGGATGATTTTAGCTACTTTTTCCTCTTGCTGCTGCTGCTGCTGCTCCTGCTCTTGCTACTCCTTCTGTTCAAAAGACAGCCCCCGGATGGGAAAACACCATGGCAGTGAAGGACGGAAAAGCATCAAAATTGCAACCAAAAATTCCCTAATGTAACTTCTGAAACCCATAGAAAAGGATTATTTTGCAACCAAAAATTCCCTAATGTAACTTCTGAAACCCATAGAAAAGGATTATTTTAGCTACTTTTTCCTCCTGCTGCTGCTGCTGCTGGTGCTGCTGCTGCTGCTACTGCTGCTGCTGCTGCTGCCGCTGCTGCTGCTGCTGGTGCTGCTGCTGCTACTGCTGCTGCTGCTGCTGCTCCTGCTGCTGCTGCTGCTGCTGCTGGTGCTGCTGCTGCTGCTGCGGTAGTAGTCCGAAACAAGAGTCAAAAGTATTATTCCCTGGCGCGCTCCCCCTTGCGTCTGCCGGGGTCGGCGGATATAGGTAGTTTCACCCTTGAGTTGTTATGCTATGTTTATTTTATTTTTTAACATGAAAACAACATGAACCAGCAACGAATTATTTTTTGTTGTGGATTAGCAACGATTGACCATGTTTTGGGATACCTTGGGCAATCAATTGTCATCTTCATGTCGCTGAGATGGCACTGGACACTTCTCCCAGTTGTAGATGGTCATGTTAGATGCCCAGAGGGCATTCTCCTCCAGTGTAGCTGACCAATAGAATGGATAGTAAGTTGCCATGTTCTGGACATCCATCCATTTTGGTAGGTTAGATTCGCATGTTTGTTTTTTTTGGTGTTGAAAACACATTTTTTTGTTTGTTGAACACCGCATTATTTCCAAAATGTTTCAAGTAAAATAGGTCTCAATTTGGCGGTTCAAATCCACAAGTCGCAATTTAGATGAAATGTGCATTTTATCGCTTAAACTCCCAACTTGGTACAGCACTACCATCATGTTTCTATTTTAATGTTTATATATATATATTATATATAATATATGTATATATAGTATAAATAGTTATATATATAGAGTTTATATATAAATAGTAGATATAAATAAATAGTGTCTATATATATATACATTTAAATGGTATAATATACATATAAATAGTATATATATATACATAAATAGTATATATATATACATAAATAACTTATATATATATTTACATAAATGGTATATATATATATATACATACATAAATATAATACATATATATATAAACTATTCAATAAGTAAATATATATATATATATTTACTTATTGAATAGTTTATATATATACATATATAGATAGATAGTATTTATAATATAATATTTATATATATATTTAATATATATATAGTAAATATAATATATTTATATATATATATATATTTATTTATTCCATAATTTTCCATCGATTTTCCCCCGTGTTCTTTGGGTGCCACCGTTGCAGTTTATCGCTTCGCAGGACTCCACCACCATCGTGGCGGACGCTCCCAAGGAGGCACTGGAAGAGCGGTGCTCGCAGATCCAAAGGCGTGGTTTCTGGGGAGCTGTTTTTGATATTAGGGGGAAGGGATTCATATGGATTAATCCTGATGTATCCCAATATTGGATATTGGATATTCCATATTTTTTGGGATATTATAGGGCTTATATTGGGATATTATTATGGGATTATTAATCCTGATGTATCCATATAATTATAACAGTGGATATTGGATAGTCCATATATTTTTTTTGAGCCATTTACTAAGTGGGCAAGTAGCCCCAAGTATGGTAACCCTTCGATCCTTTGGAAATGGGAAAATCCTCGAACTAAAAATGGAGGTTTTGAATAAGTTCACTGGTTAGTGACTTGGATAGAACTGGCTATTTTTCATAGGTTATAACTTGTGTTATAACTCAGCTTATAAGCAGCAAATCAATCGCAGTAATCATGGCAATGGGAAAATCTCCTATAAATGGAGGTTTTAATGCGAACATCTAGTGGGATAATAGTAGTGTAAGTAGATCACAACGGGATATTTCATGGGAAATCAAACAGGGCTGGAAATCTTTGGAAGAATCATCGAACTAAATGGTGGATTTTCTTGAGGGTATATTCCTTACAGCTCCAAACACCTTCTGAGACTGTATTTGGGGATGGTTTTTCGTCTACAAACACCTTCTGAGAACGTATTTGGAGCACTAGGGATTATCATACATAGGGATGATAGCTAACTAACCAAGTTAATTATTGGGTCATTAAACTTTTACTATTATGTTCAAATGAAATTGATTGGGACAATAGCGAACTAACAATGGGTATGGTTGATACCAGGGATTGTCATGGGTATATTCACCATGAATATATGGTACCATATGATACTATATGTTGATATAAAAGAGCATGAATGGGCAAATAAGTAGAGATAATTCTGCTTGGTGAGTGATTAACCATCAACATATGGGAATATCAGTTGGTCAAATGGAAAAAAATCATTGTGATATTTTCTGGTAAACATACTTAAAAAATGTGGAAAATCAATGAACATCACTGGTTTCTCGTTCGGAAAAAAATGATCTAGAAATTGCGGGGAAAACCACATCTATATTGGTTTACAGGAGGGTAAGCATCAAACATGGGAGTATAAAACTAATGTCCAGGAGGATCAGCAACAATGGGTATATTATTGCTGCATGGGATATGGGATTTTACACGTGGTTTATAGGAACCATGGGGAATGATTTATACAATCTATGGATTTCTATGGCTATTTGTGGTGATCTAATGGGATAATGGGATATAGTTTGTATATGGGTCATTAACCATAAAGTTAAGATGACCATTTCTGGTGATGTAACAACATGTAACAACATGTAATAACATTAATTTGATACAGCTAGGCAACAGCAACGTTATATATATATATATACACAATGGGGTTAGTGATGTAGTTCATGATGTCATTAATCATGGTTGACACAGATTAATGCGGGGTTCACCGTTTCTATTTAATCTTATGCTATTTACCTATATTATCCTATAGTATATTGATCAACGAAATATGCGGGGATTCACCCATATTTTATTGTGTTATATTGTGATGCGAATAGATTGGGATATCGTTATCTTTGGGATTATTGTGAAGGCATTGTTGTTTGCCTGCATAAACCGCCTTCCAACTAGAAAACAACTTGGAGAAACACAAAAATTGCTGTGGATCCCCCCAGTAGATAGTTTCCAACTGGGGGATCCACTGTCTACTGACAACAAAAACGTGGACAACCCTTAACTCATGGGAAGGTCACCCTATATGGATCCAAACGCTGTCTGAGAAGGTACGTTTAACCCTCCAAATTATGGTAAATTATACCCCAGTCCCACTTCCTAAGAAGGTACAGCTGGATCCATAGGGTGTTACTATATGTTTGTTTCTTTCCCATGGGTAAGCCATATTTGCCTGGACAGAATTTGCCTGTGGGTTGCCCACACTTTTTCATGGATCCGTTAGACTTGAATCCTGTGCCAGGCAGATCGAAGACACCAAGAGCTCCTATACCAAGGAGTGAGAACCTGCTTTTGGATCGCCAGGGTCTTTGGGCTGTTTGATATTTCTTTGCACTTGTGTGATCTCGTGTGATACTGAACCCTATGGATCCAATCACTGTCTGAGAAGGTACGGCCAACTCCCTAAATGATACCCCAAATACTTCCTAAGAAGGTACGGCTGGATCCACAGGGTAACGTGAACTTCTTTCATGCGAGGTTCGTATGGAATATGTCGACGTTTTTTCTGAAGGTCAAGGTGCTAAATGATTTGTTGGAGCAGTTTCCACAAATTCCGGTTGATGATTCATTCGGGCTGATACGATATCAAGAATTGTCACATCATGCCATATATAAATAGATAATCTGTCATTGATGTTGGACTCTTCATTTATCAGCCATTGCCATAGTCTGAGATGTTGACGTTGGCCGGCGGTTCGGGATGAGGAGCAACTGGAGAAGAGATTAGCGAAGTTGGTCGGGGGAGTCGCCTTGATCAAGGCTGGGAATGCGAAGAAATTTCCATGACCATCAAGGCTGGTCATCAACCACCCATGACTGGGAATGGGATTCCCATACCACCTATATAGATCTATATAGCCTACTATACATAATTACTTGACTTCGAGTGACCCCCACCATGACATATCATGGTGAGGATCACACAGATACCAGCCACTCCCTTTGCAAGCAAGCCATTGCGTTTTATTTGGGTCTGTGACGTTGCTAGCCGGTCTGCCGCAAAGAAACGCAAATGACATTCCTTCGAGTGATCCACTAAAATTCTATTCGACATGATCTTGTCTATCTGGAGTATCTTCTGGCATTCTGTGTCGCTATCTTCTGGTTGTTTATCTGGCAAATCTTCTTTCTGGTATTCTATCCTGCATATCTTCTGGCACACTTTCTGCCATTCTATCTGGCATATCTTCCAGCATTTTATCTGGTATATATTTTGGCGTTCTATCTGGCATATATTCTGGCATTCTATGTGGCATTCTTTCTCGCATATATTTTGGCATTCTATGTGGCATTCTATGTGGCATATATTCTGGCAGTCTAGCTGGCATATATTCTGGCAGTCTTTCTGAAATATATTCTGGCATTCCATCTGGCCGCTGAGGTCCAGCGGTGCCCACTGAGCTCGGAAGGCTCGGAAGGTCCCTGGTTGAAGACCAGCGGTGCCCACTGCGCTCAGAACCTTGCGGTTGAGGTCCAGCCGTGCCCACTCAGATCGGAAGCCGGCAGTTGAGGTCCAGCAGTGCCCACTGCGCGCGGAAGTTGGCGAAGAGCGAAGAGTTGGCAAGGCGGAAGTGGACGTGGAAGTGGAGGCAAAGGTGGTGGAGGAGAAGGAGGAGGACGAGGAGGAGGTGGAGGAGAAGGAGGAGGAGGAGGAGCCGGAACAGCTGTGATAAAATCTAACAACCTTCACCTGGCAAGTGGGGATGTTGATGACTGGGGGACATGATCAAATTCATCCAAATCATATTGCTGTACCCAATATTGTTGCTGATATCCCCACAATCTACTCCTTATATATATATAATTTATATATATATATATTATATAATATATATATATACACATAATGTTGGTAAAACAATGCTATAAACCATCCCTCAGTCATCACCATTTTTATAGGTGGTATGCTTACCATTCCCAGTCATGGGTGGTTTATGACATTGTTTTACCATGTTTTACCCACATCAAATTGGGTACCACATATGTATGGACAAATCATGAAACTACTTTTGTTTAATAAACAATGTCTCGAACAAGGAAAATGTCATGTTTATTTGATGCTAATTGTTTCTCATTATACATCACCACAAATAGGGTATACACCATTTCTTGGCAACCGTGTTTAGTGCAGTGTTTTTGCAAATGTGACTTTAGCATACTTTACCCGTATTGTTGGAAATGTCAAAAATAAAGTTACAGCCACATGTTAGTGACAACATTTGTTCTAACAGAGGTTGGAGCCAGATTCAAACATGGGGAAAGTGACCCACTTTAGCATCTTGGACATGACTTTAAAGGATTGGACACGGGCACCCAAGGACACGGAAATTTCAAAATTCAGGCATCAATAAGTTGGTTGGTAGTTATGGTCATTAATGGTTTTTAAAGGTTGGTACTATGGTTAATTCTGGTATGGTTTTAGGGATTTCTGCATAAATCATGTGTTGACCGAATGACGTCACTGGAATGATGCTTAAAAACTGTGACTTCATCCATAAATGGCTCAACATTTCAGTTATTTTCATAATGAATTGTCATAGTTACTGGTTGGTGGTTTGGAAAATTTGGAACATGGTTTTTATGACTTTCCATATATTGGGAATAGTAATCCCAACTGACTTTCAATTTTTCAGAGGGGTAGGTCAACCACCAACCAGGTTAATTAGCTGGTGAATTCACTAAAATGTTAATTAGCTGGTAATTAGTTAATTATATTCATAGTGAATTGTCATAGTTCAGCCGGCACATGCTTTTTCAGGAACTGAACTGCGCGCTTCTTTCGGATCGCACCAACTATAGCTGGTGACCATCCAATGGGAAATTATATCCCTAGGGTTTAAGGAGACGATCAAAGATTACCGTGAAATTCGGTCAAAAAATCCGATGTTCGTCAGTTGATCACTGTTTGATCCCTATGAGGTGAATATGTTAATCAATGTTCATTTTTGTGACGTTGGACAGGTGGGTGCAACCACTGAGACCGAACTGAAGGAGCCGGTATGTCAACGACCGCAGGGCGAAGGATATTTTTTTTTTTTCGGAAGGGGTGATTTTCGAGTTTATTGGCTTATTGAGTTTGTGTTGATAAAAGCGCTGCCTTTTCAAGACCCCAACTGCCTGCTCTCTTTTTTTGCGGTGGGCACAGTATGTTTTTTTTCTGACGCTGGTCGACACCCCAATTTAGAAAGTGGGCTGAATGAGAACTGGGACATATCATGATTTTGCGTTGAGGTTTAGACTCTGTAACTTCATAATCGCATTGTTAGTAGTTTCAAACACGTGTTTCTATTGTTACCTTCAAAACTGAGGACAATAATTTGAATCACGTACCCCTGGCAAATTAATAAATAGATATGGAAGATTCATGATTTGTAGGTCATTGTCCTTTGGACATAATGATCAAAGTGTGTTTGTTTCTTTTGATATATGAATTCGTTTCGTGTGGGTAGTATTTTTTACAAGGCTATTTTTTTTTTACAAGACGCCCATGATTGGTTTAAAACCCATGCTTTCCTGCAACGAATCTTTGCAGAAAAGAACAACACTTCCGTTGGTATATCTACAGTTATAGCCCTACAGCCCTTAACAGCTACAATTTGCAAAAAAAAATACATTTAAGATCATTTAAGTGATATATATATATATATTCATAGCCTGAGTTGCAGCTACAATCACATTTTGGAACTGTTAAGGGCCTCACGTGTAACCAACAACACCTTGCGGCACAGGACAAGAAACTGAGATTAGAGGATGCCATCAACGCGACCAAGGTGCTGCCTTTTCAGGGCAAAACATGGGTTACTGTGAAAGCCCCTGGCCATGGATTGGAAGATGGGAACTGAGTGGGAATATGATCATGGAACCATCATGGATTACTTTGAAAACAACATGGATTACTGTGAAAGCGGCCATGAGATCAATGAGAACTGAGATGAACTGAGTGAACTGGCGAGGGATATGGGAACATCATATTCAGTTAGTTGGAGTTGGATGTTAAACGTTGGATCTCAGGGTGTAAACTTCAGCTAAAGATAGAAGCCATGGATATCTCTGATACTTCCCAATCGAAGATCTTGTGTTTTGTGGGTTAAACTGATCAAGAAAAACCAGCCTCCCGCACAATTTTTCAACATTTCTTGGTGAATTGGTTTACGCACCAGCAACGCGTCAATCCGATTCGCTGGCCTTTTTGTGGTACGGCTGTTTGTTGTAGGTCAGATATCATATCAAGTTGGTCAATGTTGCTTTGATTAGATATCCCATGATATTCCCATTGGGTTTTTATACTTTAGATTCTATCTTCCTGTCACTATTCAAGAACTGATCATATCAAATCCCAACTTTGTAATTCGAAGGTGACCCCTAAGGTCCTAATGTTCTTGTTGGCCGCAGATACACTCATCGCTTTCTTCCATGATCTTTGTGAGTGAAATCCCATGTCATTGCTGTACAACAAAACTCATGTGGGTTTTTCGGAAAATATAGTACTGTACCTCACAATCCACTACTTGATCATAAACCTCCCTATTAACATGCCATTTTGGAAGTATATAATATACACCGTTTTCAGACCGACTCACATATCAGATTAGTGAATAAATATATCCTGAAATTGGTTATATCTCCATGAAATCACCATGTAGTTCGCTGACTGTCCCACAAAAAGTCCCATTATCAACCCTATTTAACCCTTATTGATCCCTCATTTTTGATGGTTAAATCCCCTTAAGCCTCCATTTGTGCCTGGTAAAAAATGTAAAAATGTCCAGGCTGCGGTCGATGAAGGCATCGTTCCTGGTGGCGGTGCGGCCTTGTTTTTTGGCACCAAGGGCCGTTACAAATACCCTGGGTACTTGGTTACTGTATGCATAAACCTATATTTTTACCTACCATGACTGGGGATGGTGGTAGCATCCTGATAAAAATGCTGATGCCTTGGGGATGGTTGTTGGGTTTACCACATTATAACTTGGGTTATTGAAAAAACGTCTTGCAAACCATAAGTAGGGAGACCTATCGATCAAAGTTACGAGGATTTTGATGTCCTCACCGAATTCGGGTCATTTCCAGGTCATCATCCAATAGCAGGATCGACTTTATGCAAAAAAAAACGCTGGAAACTGGCAGGTGGTGCCCCGGGTCGTTAGTCAAGTTGCTTTAAAGCTCCAATTTCACTTGGGTTTATGGTAAATAAACTATTTTTTGGGGGTTGTAAACAATCTTACTTACTTATAAGTGGCACCACATTGAGGCGCAAAACTGCTGTAAAATGCCCATAGCCCATTGTCATCATGATTATATACCCACTGTGTTTGGAACGGATGAAAAAAAACAATATTTTGACCACGGTATAGAATACAGTTTTCTCAAACATGTTTCTATTTTTAGTTTCTTAAAATGGTAGACCGGCCATATCCCACATTGGTTTATGCACGGTATATATATAATATATAATATATATATATAATATAATAATATATATATATTATATTATATTATATTATATTATATTATATTATACATATTTGCCCACGTTTACTACCCACGTTTATCAAGCAATGACCCATGTATATAGATTGAACATACAAAACATACGTGGAACGATTGGGGATGGGTTTGCCCCGAGAAATCAAACATGAGTCAAACATGAGGGGCCCTGACCACAAGAATGCGAATGTTAACCAATCACTTTAGGATATAGTCTATATAGTATGATGTTTTTTTTTCAGAATATGGGGTTGGTAATTGTGTTTAAAGATGGGAACGGTAGTTGAATGGAGAACTTGATGTTCTACATATGGGATTTTGGGGTAGCATCTCCTTGTTTTTGTACCCGCCAATTCATGGGGTGTGTCTGAACATGGAAGATTGCCTATGGGGAAGACGATGATGGATCAATGAACTTGGGTGGGACAGTTCTTTAGCGGTTTCACCAAAATTCAAAGCATTCGCCAGAAACTGGGATTGTCTGAAAATAGGCTATCTCCAAATTTGATAGATTATCATGTCCTAATTATATGATATATATATACATATGTATATGATATTATATGGTCATTTCATGGTATCTTCCATCTTTGGACTGACCCAGCCAGTTTGTTTTCTATTTTTACCCTTTCAAGTAATTCAACATAGCTATCGAAAATGGCCCATGTATAGATAAGTTTTCCATTAACATATGTTTCATCCTCCATTATTTTTGCGGGATTTCCCACCATGCTTGATTAGCCCTGCTGGAGATGGATCATAAACATGATCACTGCAGTTTTCCATTGGGATAACATCAAAAAACAATTCTGAACCAGATCTGAACCTTCAAAAGTGGTTTGAGCATGTGGTGTTTTTTTAACAATTTGACTTATCATATGAGGCGGTAGATGATCGGATGTTTCCCTTTGAAACATGTGGTCCTTGGACCGAATCTGATTCGTATTGTGTTTGATGAGTTGACCAGGCCTCGTTTGGCCGGGGCCGGGCCCACGGGGCCGGATGGTGCGGCTGAGGTGTCATTTGTCCAAGGATTTGCGCCAGTGGGCTGCCGAACATCTCGCAGAGGCGGCCAGTGTTGGCGTAGACCGCGGGATTCACCAAGCTATGGACCGGATCATAGGGGATCACATGTATTATTTATATACAATGTGAGGCCCCCAAGATAGCTAAGTTGGTTTATAACCCCAATAACTATGGTTTATGGTACTTATAACTATAGTTACTGGGGCTTATAAACCAAGTTGTAACTGGGCGGCCTCACATTGTATGTAACATATACTTATAGAATTTATATATACGTAAAGGATGTGCCATTAATGGCCATCAACATGGGATTTTGGCAATGTTGGAGAGTTCCAAAGTTTGACTAGATATCAGTTCAGTATTAAATCATTGTTCAATATGCATGATGAGTGGTTTTCTGAACATTCGACGTGTTGAAGAAAAAAGCCAGGCACATTACCATCCAGAATTCTTTGCGATACACACAGTTCTCTGATTGCAGCAGTTGAAAGTCATTTCGCATGAATGAAGAGAAAACATTGGAATCCCAGTTCACCGATGTGTTTTGATTGGAAACACAAATATGTGGTTGATTAAACTTGATTAAAACATATTAAATCCCACAAAAATTGGGGTGCAGTGTAGTAGTTTGTTTGTTTTTTTGACACCAATGTTCCACATATTCGACATGGTGAAGTCACACCAGATCGAGGATACATGGCATACTGTGCCATGCCGCTCCATGGGTAGCGACCGCTCAAGGTGATGCTTCGTACATCTCAGTGCCGTGGTTTGGGCATCACCCCAAACCGCGTCGAACTTTTCAGGTTTGTGAATAAACATTATATATATATATAGAACATATCTAAAACCAAATAAAGATATAATTAACAATATATGTAATCTATAATTATATCTATAAAAAACAAAAATGAAAATCTTCAGATGTGTGGTTTCAACATTCCAGGTTGTTGCCTCAAAGGTCTACCATCCATTCCCATCCCATGGGATGACAGGACCAGCTGAAGGGTGCGGTCATTGTGGCGGAGTCCATGACTGCCCCAATGAAGCGCATCGCGGAAGCTGGGTGGAGACGGGGATTTCCCGAGGATTTACCATCTGGTAATGGGTTACATAGCCATGGCTATGGAAACACTTGGAAACCATGGCAAATTTATAGATCATTTACCTATAAACATTGTGATGTTACGAACAAAACTACGGTATAACCGATGCTTTAATTTTATTTTACAACATTTTACCAACAATATCATGTTTACCAACAAACATCCAGATTTAGCCAGCCAAAATTGTGAGTTACCCAATGAGCACGGCCGATTCTGATTCTACCCACCCACCCCAAGGATGCAATGCTATTCTCTTGGGGGTGCCAATCCCAGAAAACCATGTGGCATCCCCAGGGAACCTAATAAGGGGCTAACAAATGATAACTCTGGATAAATTATCGCGATCTCACATCGCAAAGTGACGAGGTAAATGACGGTGGATGGGGAATCTTCCCCATGCGGCTTTCTTTTAGGTTTGCGAATTATGATGATTTATGCATATTGATGCATTGTATGGGCTAAGTTGGGGCGGTGTGGAATGGGGATGGAGCGAGGATGATTTTCTGGAGATGTAATGGGATAATGCCAACACCGGATTAATAAACCCCCCCCCAAAAGGTAGGGGGGTATCTTCTGGCTAGTTTTCTTGACGATCCCTTAATAATAAGCAACTCTGAACCATAAAACTTTGGAGATGGCTTACGTCAATCAGATCTTAATAAAATTCCATTGGATTTGTTAAAATTTCATGGATCAGAAAGGTGGTTGATTAATCAGGGGCAAACCCTGGTTATTATTAATGGGGGACATGGGCTCATGGGGGCTACCCTTTGGGAGCTATCCAAACTGATGATTTTTTATAAAGATCTTAATTAGAAATCGATCATTTGGGGAATAGTTGTTTTTTGAAATTTTCAATGATCAACTTAAACCTGAAGTATAACAATGATGATTAAAAAAAAGGTAAAAAACAATTTGAAATAAATAGAATTGGAAATAAAAAATGTTGGATAAAAAAATGGATTTCAGAATTGGTGGTTGATTAATCGGGGGTAGGCCAAAGTGTTTATTAATCTGGGGGACCACCTGTTTTTAAATTACATTTTTTGGGGGGGGCAGTTGCTGTTGATTAATCGGGGGGGCATTATTAATCCTCACTTGGCATTAATGAGTCAAGCACATTTTGGGATACCTCTTAAACTCCTCTTGGGCCTAATCCCTTCCCCCTAATACTAAACGTCCCCCCTATTAATAAACACCTCAGGTAGTTTTTAGTATCGGGGGGGTATGTATTATTAGGGAACCCTATTAATAAAATTAAACCCTTACTATTTTTTCCGATTTCAAAATTAATTAAATTTCCTTATATAACGCGATTAAGATATTGCCAAAAATTGGATTTCGAAGCGGACCCTATTAATAAAATTTAAACCTTAATAATAAAAATTAGAAAAAAAATGGACGGACCCTAATAGTAAACACCCCGGGGTTAACTAGTTTTTATTATTAGGGGGCAAAACCCACAAATGGTAGCTTTATTTTTAACTTGTTTTCTATAAATGGGATCAATTAAAAATCAAATTGGCCAATCTGAAATTTTCCAAAATTAGAGATGGACCCGAGTTTTTAGTATTTTTTGAGGGGTTTAGTAATAGGGGGAAAGGATTAGTGGGGAACATACTCGCGTGTGGGATCTTTCACTATGGGTGATCAAGAGCCCTATTGAGCAAACAGCGTAAGGGACAAGGTTTGGGGCCATTGTACATTTAGAGCCCAGATGGGTGATCTGATTGGATCCGTTGATATTCAGGACCAATTAGTAGTGAGGGGAAACATAGATGATATAGGCGGATGTGAGCTGATGATGTTTGCTGCATGATTCCTATTCCTTTAAGTCATGTCAAAACTATGGTTCTTGGTGACTTATATCCCGATGTCAATTGGTGGCAGCTTTTCCACGGAGCATCATAACGAATCAAGCCGCTGAGGAGAACTCGGGGCAGAATGGAGATTTGGTGGCTGAGAAGGCCGGTACCACCCATGTGGATTAAGATAGTTTTCATAGCACCCCTGTTTTTCCCTCTGGTTTTTTCTAATGGTTTGCTATGCATAGCATCACCATAGATCAGTCCTATCAATCGGCCATTGGGTATTGGGGATGGTGGATCCTATTGCTGGATCCTAACATGACTACTGTACCAATGGGTACCACAAAATCCCATAGGATTAGGAAATCTATCAACCAACTAGTATGAGATGGGATAGGGGTATTTTTCATGGCTCACTTAGTTCACTTGGGATTTTTATGATGCTGTTGTGTTGGATCGGTGTTTCAGCCAAAATCAAGGCGGAATGCTACATAATATGGTTTTTGAAGTAAGGGCAACAGGGAAATTGACACACATTTTTTTGTTTTTTCCCACAAAACGATATTTCAACTATAAACAAATGGTGTTTTTTTCCAGCCAGATACAGTGATGGCATTCATCAACACAGGATGTGTTGTCTGCATTGCAAGTAATTAGTGGCAGTGCACGACAGAACATGTGGGCTGGATCATCATTCCAACTAGTGAGTGAAGCAATCTGGTGGTCAATACAGTAAAGCAAAAGGAAATGAACCAACGCATTGGGCAAATCATGGATTCACAGATTCAACAAATGCAGCGACTACATGGTGCTTGGATGATTCCAGAATTATTAAGAAAAAGTAGACATGTTGATATACACACACTCTTTCTTCATGCATCCTACATAGCCTGTGAACAATGTCACAGGTGGTCGAGGCGGAGTCCACAAACCAAGGACGAATGTTTTAAGTCTTAAGGGGGGTTGTGGCTATAATATCAAAGCATTGAAGTTTCGCTGTGGCGTCAAAAAGACAATTCGCTTGCCCACTTATATAACTTATATACCAATATATGATAAGCAATTGTACATCATTCCATATATTTCTCTTGGAGGGGTTGGCGGAGACGTGTCAGTATGAGCTCAAAGCAGCTTCAATACCATTCAATACCACTAAATTGTATTTGAATGGTACTATATAAAATATACTACTACAATCTACTACATAGGTGAATTTGATTGGTCTCGTTTGGTCTCTCTTTGCAGCGCCAAAAAAGCAGCAACATGAACTCCAGCCAGACCCGATGCCAACATGTCCTGGATGTTCTTCATTTGGATGGGAAAACCTTACCCTCTGGTAAACTAACATAGCTATTGAAAATGGGCCATAGAAATAGTGGATTTACACATTAAAAATGGGTGGATCTTTCCAGTTCGCTATTATTAAACGTTTACCTACGATAGTATTATACACATGAAATCACAAAATCGTTGCTGTATAGGTTTAAGATGGTTTAAACATATTTGAACTCATGATTTTAAGAACTCTACTTAAGGATACTTCAGGTGTTTGTTCCCTCTTGGGTGCGACTTTTTTTCGTAGAATATCGTAGGTCATTGTACCGGAGCAAATTTATTCACACTCTTTGTAAATGACATTGGACCTTGATGTTCTTTCCTTGCTTTGAGCATGGCCAAGATGGTTCGAATTCCTGTCCCTTTCATGATCCAGTTTCAGCCATGGCAACATTTTGAAAAATACGATCTTTGGTGGTATTAGGCATTACCCATAGGATCCATGGTGCTGCTATATATGTGGTAACATGGATGGATCCCATCAATACACCCCAGTCATGTTAGCATATATAACAGCACCATGGATCCTATGGGTTAGGCATTATGGACCCCAATTTTCTTTGAGCTACCAACCAACTCCACTAGCTAGCCCTGAAACGAAAATATAAGAAGTACCACCTGACAAATTTCATCAATGTTTAAGGTGGACATTTACAGTTCTCATATTTTTTTCAGATTGCTTGAAACCGGCTAAATCTACGTATGTTCCCTCCATGTTTTTCTTATATCATAGAATTGGATGATGGGAAAATTTTAACCGGAAAGCCCGATCAATTTGATGGTAAAAACCATAAAACCCATGGGTTTCCTGTAGATTTTCCCTTAAACCAATCCATTTTTCTTATAGTTTCTGGCTATTTCAGGCAGCTGCCCGTCGAAAAATTGCAGGATTTGATGCCCTGGTCCTGGAATATGCCGATATGTTGGAGTCCGATGAGCTCAGAGACCACCGATGGCCCAAGGTTTATGGCAGAACAACATGGTGGGAAGAATTATGGTGGGATATAATGGTATGATAATATATACCCTCTGGTAATGACTAACATCGCTATTGAAAATGGCCATTTATAGTGGATTTACCCATTAAAAATAGTAATTTTCCATAGCTATGTTAGTTTACCAGAGGGTAATATGTACAATATTTATATATAATATTGAGAAATTATTATATATATATATATAATATTAGTATATATTAGTTGATTTGGGTATGGGCCAAGGATATTGATATACCATTAATTATCCTGATTACATTATAATCCATGTTTATCCCGTTTTTGATTCCCGATGAACAGTGATATAATGGGATTGTTATTGTATGTGCACATATGTATGTATATATATATGAATGATATATTATATATAATTATAGATGATTTGGGTATGAATCAACACTTGAGACTCAGAACAAGGAAGCTATATTTTGTTCCAAGTCAAGGCTTCTTAGCCATGTCTTTTTTTGAGGGCGACACAATTTTGGGAAGATTGATTGCCTTTTCTTGCGGGATACCAGTTCCAAAGTGCTGGAAAATAGCGACGGTTGCCTGGTGTTCTATGGCTTTAAATGGGGAGATTGTTAGGGTTGTTGTTAGGGTTTTTTTCTTACTGCACATCATGTACACAATATATGCTGATATGCTCATACTAAAAAGACTTGGAGAAAACCATGCCACATGGCAGACAAAATCAAGTCTGGAATGCAAATCAAATACAGGGACAGACCACACCCGATTTCGATCGACCTGAAAGCTTTAAAGTTTCTGTTTTTCCGTTGACATTCCCCGTAAGGGATGACCAAATAAAGGATTGAAATTGGTTCCTGAAACAGGTTGAAACCTCAAAAACTATGTCGGTCATTGTTGGTGACAGCCATGATGCTTCAATCCCAATCTGTGATAGTTCAATCCTGAGTTTTGCCAGCAAAATGACATTGAACTTTTCATTTTGATGGCTCAAAATCAATTATTTGATGTTTCAATCCCCTGTTTTTTGGCATATTCCACGGTTGCAGAAGTCCTACGAAGTCCCCGTGGCAGATTTTTGTTCCCTCACTGATGCGTTGACGCCGTGAAGGCGTGGCATCATCGACCCCGCCAAGGTGCACACAGAGCGATGAACAAAAACCGGGCCGTATCAATGGGCCATGTTCCATGTATAATATATATATATATCATATACATCATGATATATATATATAATATGTTTGAATATATGTATATATATCATATCCATATATGTATACATACATATATTATCATATATTGTTATTTGATGAATTATCGCAGCGTATATGTTCTATATCAAGATAGACCACAGGGTTACAGAAGTGGTTTGTGACTTGGTTCTATGCCGAAAGATGATGATCCCCATTGACGCGCAGTTTTTTTTCAGCTCAACTACTGGCCCAGTTGTTGGTTGTACCCTCTGGCTATTTGACATAGCTATGGAAAATGGTCCATTTTTAGGCGACTTATGATTATTTACCTTTTAAAAAATTGTGATTTTCCATAGCTACGTTAAATAACCAAACGGTATCCATTTATATCCGTTATATCTCCATGATACTCCCACACAAAATGCCCATTGTACCACCATTGTTCGTCCCCATCTCTGAAAAAGTCATTTGGATTTCCGCAACGTTTCTGTTTGACACGGATTCTGATGATTTTAGTGACAGGCCAACCTCATGAACGCGTGGAGATTGACCAAGTCGAAGTGAGCCATAACGGACATGCATGATGATTAGTTATGTTTGTGTTTTCTTGGTCTTGCTTGAATCAGTAGTCATTAGTATTGTTGCTAAAAATCAAGAATTATTTTTTGGGGTTGCCAGTGAAACAACCATATTTTTGTTGCTGAAAGATGTTGAACTATCATGTGTTTGTTATTAAACATCTCCATTGATGATGCTTCAATCCCAGTTTGTGACGGTGAACAACTGTATTTTGCAGCTTAACTCAAAGTTCCGCTAGCTTGACTTCACGTATTTGATCATTTCTGTGTTTGTGGAAACTCCATGAAACTCCTATTGTTTTGATTGGTTGACTCTCATTATTCATTGTTGTTACTTAAATCACAAATCATGTGACTCGGCTCAGATTTGTTGATCATGTTGGTTCATGATTGTTTTTTTGTTTCCAGCTTATCCAGCTGAACTAATCACTTTTTCTATACCAAAGTGTCGCGGTAGGTGGCTCGGTCTGCCCTGCAGAACGCCACTTCCATCGCCTCCATGATCCTTACCACCGAGTGTGTGACTGGGATTTAACCATAGTTATGGGATGTTAGATCCCAACTGAGCAGTGTTCGAAACCCTGGTTGATTGATGATTAGTTCGGGGATTATACTACCCAATATATTGGGGATTATAATAATCCAATAGGGCCTATAGGGAAATCCCTATAAACCAACCAGTATAACGGAATGATAGAGGGATTTTGAACACTGCTCAACTCGTGTTGGCTTTTTCCATGGTTATAGCCATTCATACTCGTAACACCAACTGCACCCCCTGAACGATGGTAAAACCTCGCCGCCCCAAAGTTCCAACTTCTGATCGGCTTTTTCCAAGGGTAACCACATCATGTCAAATCCCTTTCACGGATGGGCTCTCTGTGTTGGTGGGAAGTTCCCCCTTGTTGAAATCCACATACAGCAAATTGACATCATTGTCAGTCAGTTATGTTGATTGCAATTCGATGTTGTTCCTTAAGCTTGCGTCAGAAATGAACATCACTATTTCAATCCCCATCTTTGTCGAGCTTACCCTTTCATGAAACCAGCAAAGTCCACATTTATCGTGGTCAATGAATCACCACAGTCCCA